GCTCCGCTTCGTGTGGTAAGTTTGGGGTTTAGCAAAAAGCCGGCAACAGTCCTGCAACAGTCTGTGTTTCTGCTTCCTTTAATGCTGCCGTTGAAAACGCTTCAGTTTCTTCCGTTGTTTCGTAGGGTCACAGGATCAGCTCGGTTGGAAAAGCTCCTTAAGATCAAGTCCAACCTTCACCCCAGCACTGCCCAGGACATGATTAATCCATGTCACTAAGGGTCTCGTCTGCAGTGTTTGAACACTTCCAGGCACGGTGACGCCAGAACTAGCACTGCCATGGGCAGCCTCTTCCAATGGCTGAGCACCCTCTCAGTGAAGATGTTTTTCCTAGTAGCCAGCCTAAACCTCCCCTGGTGCAGCTTGAGGCTGTTTCTTCTTGTCCCATCCCCTGTTCCTTGAGAGCAGAGTCCAGCCCCCTCCTGGCTCCATCCTCCTGTCAGGCAGTTGTAGAGAGCGATAAGGTCCCCCTGAGCCTTCTCTTCTCCAGACTAAGCCCCCCAGGACCCTCAGCCATTCCTCATCACACTTGTGCTCCAGGCCCTGCACCAGCTCCATTGCCCTTCTCTGGCCCCGCTCCAGCACCTCAATGTCTCTCTTGTAGTGAGGGGCCCAGAACTGAACACAGGATTCGAGGTGCAGCCTCACCAGTGCCCAGCACAGGGGGATGATCACTGCCCTGGCCCTGCTGCCACACTGGTGCTGATACAGGCCAGGATGCTGGTGGCTTCTTGGCTGCCTGGGCACAAGCTGCTCATGATCAGCTCCATCAGTCAGCACCCCCAGCTCCTTTCCCATGAGCAGCTTTCCTGCCACTCTTCCCCAAGTCTGGAGCATTTAGGTTTTGTGTAAATCAGTGTTTCTCCACTTTAAATAGTCAGTTTTATTTATAAAAGTTTTCTTGATTGATTATGGAATATGAAAGGAAGTCAGATGCTTTTTTTTTCCCCTTGGGTAACAGGTTTTCTTTGTTCTCCCCTTTCCCTAAACTGTTGATTGTGGTTTATGCTTTGGGGGAAATTTCCCATGATAAGATAACTGAAATAAACTTGGTGTTTGCAGTAGTATGTATAGATATTAGTTTTGGAAGTTCCTCCAGCAGTTTGCCCAAGCTACAGTAGCAGTATGTTGTTCACACATCTACCTGCAAATTGAATTAGTGTCTCACTTCTCAGGTTTGTCCAAAAATTGCATGTTAGCTTTTCTTCTTAATTGTAAAGGTAACCAATTTTTTTTCCTTTTCCAAGGCCACAAGAAAAGCCATTGAGGAAGCTAAAGAAAGACTCATCATGCCCCCTGTTTTGGATGAACGAGAGCCGATTGATGATGTCTTAGCAGAAGACAAATTACTTGAAGGAACTGAAACTACAAAATATGTCTTTACAGATTTAACTTACTCTGTTCCACATCGTGTAAGTAACAATATATTATTTCAAGACCTTTTCGTTCTTAATTTCAAAATAACCTTTAGGTTTGAATACAGTGTAGTTATAGTAGTTTGTAAAGAGGCTGAGGAGTCACAAATTCAGTCTGGTACAAGGCAATACAAAGAAATGTGTTTCTAAATGTTTGCCTCTGATGGTGACTGACATTCCAGTATTCAAAAGCAGTCTTGCTGGGGGCTGTGGGGTAGTTGGTTAATCATTTCACAAGCAGATGCTTGTGATATGCTAGGTGTGCTCCTAGGAGTTGCTCCACACTTCATAGAATCATTCTGTAGAACTGGATTACTTCCTACTGTACATAGACCAAAAGATGGAGCCACTTCAAAGTTGCAAAGGAAAGCCGAGTAAGTGATTATAAATTCTCAAGAAAGCTGGGAAGAAACAGTTGTCAAATAGAATTATGGAGTATAGGAATAAAGATTTCTTTGTTTAATGAAACATCTAGATTGTCTTAGGTGTCAGTAGTAAAAGGCTGGAAAATTTCTTGACAAATACATATGATTCTAAGAAGTCTCTGTGGTTCTAACATGCCTGTGGTGGTGATGATCCTGTGAAATGAATTGCCCAGTCTCCCAGGCTGGAGAAAGGAACACTTCCCCCTGGTCGTAGAGGGCTGGGTTAGGGATAGGCTAGTCAGACCTGACACCCATAAATCCTTTGGCCCTGATGGGATACACCCAAGGGTACTGAGGGAGCTGTCAGATGTTGTTGCTCTGCTGTTCTCCATCATCTTTGAAAGATCATGGAGAACAGCAGAGGTACCTGATGACTGGAGGAGGGCCAATGGTACTGCCATCTTCAGAAGGGGCACGAAGGAGGACCTGGGGAAACAACCAGCCAGTCAGCCTCACCTCCATCTCTGGAAGGGTGATGGACAGGTCATTCTGGAGGTCATCACCAAGCATCTAGAAGAAAAGTAGTCATCATGGACTCACCGAGGGTAAATCTTGCTTGACTAATCTAATTGCCTTTTATGATGACATGGCAAGATAGGTCGACAGGGGAGAGCAGTGGATTATATCTACCTCAACTTCAGCAAGGCTTTTGACACTGTCTCCCATAATATCCTTATAGATAAGCTTAGGAAATGTGGGTTACATGAATGGACAGTGAGATGTGTTGAAAACTGGCTGAATGGCAGAGTTCACAGGGTCCTGATCAGCAGAGTAGAATCCAGTTGGAGGCCTGTAGTCAGTTGAACTAGGTGATCTCCAGAGTTCCCTTCCAACCGTGAAGAATCTGTGTGGTTCTGTGATCTACCATGCCATCTGGGAACTCTCTCCAGGTACCTGCTATTTATTCTTCTGCCTCAGTGTATTGACTCATTTCTCTGGCTATTGGTTATGTTATCTATGTAAACTTCACAGAGTTGTAGCTCTCAGTGTGGGCACATGCAGTTATGCTATACAGTAAAATTAAGGTGCACATGTAGCACTTGATGAGCAGGTACCAAGGGAGAAATGATCAATCTAGCACATAGCAACAATCAGTGCTGTTTTTAGTGTGAGTTCACGGAGAGAAGGACTTGGCCAAATAGGAATCCCTTTGCAATGGTTTTGGCTACAGAGAGAGAAGACTTTGGAAGATAATGAGGGGTTTTTTACCTTCTTTTCAGGAACGTTTCATTGTAGTTAGAGAACCAAATGGTGTGTTACGCAAAGCAACTTGGGACGAACGGGACAGAATGATCCAGATATTCTTCCCAAAAGAAGGGCGCAGAATTATTCCCCCAGTGTTATTTAAGGATGAACACCTTGGGGTAAGATCTCTTGGGTGTGGAAACTGATCATTTTTACTTAAATGTGCTCTGATAGTGAAACTGTGCTACATGGATGGAGTAGCTCTGAACAAGCCAGTCTGCTGTTAAGTTCTAACCTGCTTGAATTCTCTTTTGAACAATTGCTTATCATGGTAACTTAGTTAAAATACTGGTAATAAAGTTTCAGGTTAGGGCCAAGTAAATCCTGAATAGGTGCAAATATTCTATCATACCAGAACTACACATTTAATTTGTTCTGCATTGATGAAATCACACGCTTAATCTGAAAAATTCAGGGAAAAAATCAAAGGAACATGAATATAATGTGAATAAGGGAGTTTCTGTAGTCTTATTCATCTTGCCTTGTGATTAAGGGGGGTGCTCACTATAAGTGTTGCCTAAGACAGAAATCTTGTGGCTGCTGTTTTGATTCTGGAGCATTGGAATGGTGTGATTCAGAATCTAGTCCTGAATTTGAACTGTTGTTTTAGAACGTATTTCAGCAAGACCGTCATGAGGATGTCCTCAACATGTGCATTGCTCAGTTTGAGCCAGATTCAGCTGACTATATCAGAGTGAGTTCACTTTTCTTTTTTCTCAAAAATACAAAAATAGCATAATGAAGAACTTAAGCTTTGCTCTGTAACCATGTCCTGGGTTCTCACAGCAGTAACCGTCAGTATTATCTGGGGATCAAATGCTGTTTGCATGTTCTTTTTTCTCCCATATAGATTATCTGTTAGCCTTGATGAGTTTTTGGGTTTTTTCTTGCAGAAAAGTAACCCAGGATTCTGTTTAAGTAATTTCAATACTATACGAAGAACTACAGATACATAGAAATAGCCCTTATGTAGCGCATTTTGGTGTCAAACCAGGAGCTGTGCTCACTAAAGAAGTCGTGCCTGACTGTTGTACTGGCATTTGAAAGGACAGGGTAGATAATGGATGAAAGTGCACCTGAGAGCATTCTGTGACTTTTGACAAAGACCAGGTACAAAAAATGGAGTTCTAGCCGAAATAATTGAATCTAGTTACTGTAGCTACTGATGAATAGGTTAATATACACTTGCCTTTAAAATGTTTATTGCTCAGGCTCTGAGAATGTAACTTCTATTAAGCAATTTTTCAAATACCTCTTCATCAAAGTAAAACATCACCTTTTTGCTCAAGCATTTTTCTCCTTAAGGGAGAGATTACAACTTGACAGCAGTGAAGATTCAGAGGGTATGTCCCTCCCTTCCCAGATTTTTAGCACACAGCTAGTATTTAGGTTTCTCTTAAGATAAAGATGTCTACACTTAGGTGGTAAGAACTAGCTTACTCCAGTGCTAACCTGAATTATAAGATGTACAAAGCTTTAGCATCACATGGTTGAGCCTGTGGCTTACTCCTGCACATGAGGGAGGTCTAGAAATAGATCAAAAATTGAGAGACATAGGGAGGAGAAACTGTCATCAAGCTCCAGTTATGCTGATGAGACTGCAACCTTTGCTGTATATAGGTTCATCATCGGACATATGATGACATTGAGAAACATGCCAAATACGATCTGCTCCGTTCAACAAGACACTTTGGAGGCATGGTGTGGTATCTCGTCAACAGAAAGAAAACAGATGGCTTACTAATAGATATGATCAACAGAGACTTGTAAGTGCTGTTTGTCACTTACTCATTCTGGTAACCTAAACAAACAGCAAACAAGTACCATTGTTTGAGAATAAAACCAGTATTTCTGTAGGATGTAGTAAGTTTTTATTTGCATGAAATTTTAGGCAAGCTGTAACTTTTAGCTATATAGGTGCTGAATGGAAGTGCCATACCAGCTCTGGCCACTGCTGATCTTAAAGCCTAACAATTTCCTTGGCTTTTAAGATTGGCACACTATTTTCCTTCAATTTTAACCTTATTATTGAAGTTAAGCTTTACAGGTGGTCAGATCTTAACTTTTGAACTCAAGGATAAGAAGAAATACAGGGTTCAAGTTTTGGAATCGAATTATTAAAGGGAAAATTGAAAGGTCTGGACAACTTTCATTACTGGAGTTTGGAGCATCTTTATTTACCACTCGCCCACTTTTGGCTTATGCTTACATTTATGTAAGCATCTCTTCCAGTTCTAAATGCAGCTGAGGTGTCACAAGATTTCTAATCCTACATCTGTAAAACGTGCTGGTTACTGCAGTCCATGTTAAAAAGCTTCTGCAGTTCTGCTAAATACTTGTTACTGGGTAATTAACTGTATTTTACAGAGAGATTTCAGCTGTACTAAGCAGCAGGCTTAAAGTGCAGCATGTCTGAATTCAAGTACCTTACCTGGTGCACCGTTGGTGCTCGCACACTTCTGGTCTGCCTTCTGAACAGGCTGCCTTTGCAGTAGATGGGATGCCATGTCCCGATGAGCTTATAGCCACTGAAAGCAGTGTAAGAAAGCCAGTGGTGTGCAAAGTACACTTTCTCTATGTACTCTTAAGGGAAAGCAATTACTACAAATGAGCCTTTATTTGTTTAGGCTGGATGATGCTACGAGTTTAATTACCCTGTATCACATGCTTCATCCTGAATGTCCATCAGCAAAAGAAGCTAAGGAAGGGAAACTTCAAGGAGTTGATCTGATCGAGGTATGCTTTTCTACTTTAAGGTTATAAACTACATAAAGCTTTTAAACAGCTCATTTCTATTAATTAATTAATTTCTCCTTGCCTTGAGAAGCAGCTATTTAAGTTGAACTGTTAGGAGTGCTGGTTTGGTGGGGGTTTTGTGCCTGTTTTAAACTACATATAGCTGCCCCAGGATTTGAGTTGTCACTGGCTGATGTAGCACTGGAATGATGAAATACCATTATGCAGTGATGCTCTTAATTGTACATCAATCTCTCTCATCATGTTTGCAGGCATTTGCAAAAACTGAATCGCAGAGAGAAGGCTACATACAACTGGCCCTCCAGGCTTATAAAGAAGCAATGGCTACTTCTACAGCTTCATGAAATCAACCTTTGTTCCCCACAAGTTTTAAGCGTGTTTATAAGCATTCTCTGTACAGGATTCCACAATAAATACTTGAAACAACTCACTGTTCTATGATTTTTTTTTTTTACTAATGTATGTAAGAGTCATGACAGCAGCTTGTTAATTTCCAAAGTTCAATAAATGAACTTAGAGCAGTCACCATGACTTTAGTTTTGAAGTGATAATATACTCTGTGTTTAATTGCTTTACTGGAATTCAAATTCCATCTTGAATCTAAAGAATTGCCTACAATTCATTTTACTTATTGATGGTTAGGGTCTGGACAACTAGGGAAGTGTGTAACACCACATCTGTCCCTTAAGACATGTTACTCTTGTGGCATACATTTCAGCTAAAAAGGGTTGTCTGGAAGAGTAACTGAGCTACTGTTTTTAACAGATGCAAGCAATATACCACCCTGAAGAAATACCACAGTGTAGATGCTGAGCAAGTCAGGTTAAAATGTAATGAGTGGCATCTATGGTCCTGTTAGAATCATTTGCAATACACAGTCCTGAAGCTAGGTTAAAAATAGGAGAGTTGCAAGTAAATGGAGAACTAAGGAACAGAATGGTTAAAAGGTTTTATTGAACTGCTTGATAAATGAAAACCTCTTTCAGTATGCACTGGAGCAGGCCTACACCTTTAATTTTCAACATACTGGAAGCTGATTCTTTTGTACAGTTGCTGGGTCTACCCTTCTTTCTACATGTAAATGGTCCATCTGCAGTACAAAATAATCAAATTAGCTGGGAGCACGTAGCCCTCAGATCTTTGTTTCTTTGTTTGGAGTAATGGATTTGGTCATCTCAGAAGTATGTTCACTCATCTAAGATCTCTTCATCCAGATTGATGTCTGTGGTATCAATATCCTCCAGGTCTAAGTTATCCAAGTCATCTTCCAAGTCAAGCAGGGTCTAGGAAAAGAAAAGTCCAGGTTAAGGGGATGCTAATATGGTTACATGTTAGCCAGCTTGTACCAGGTATTTCAACATTCTGCTGAAGCACTCTGGGGGAATATAGATGTCAGAATAAGCTGCAGAGGGACGCTACCCTCTAGCTAAGAAAGCACCTCAGAGATGCAACTTCCTACCACGTTCTGACCAAGTGTGTTGGGATTTCACCTTTTGTCCACAAAGCTGTAGGAACTGGTCTGTTTCTGTGTACAGCTGCATGGAACAAGGAGGGATTATACACTGTACCAGTCCCAAGCTGCCTGGGTCTATTAATATAGAGAGTGACACTTTCTAGTAGGTTTAATCACATTATCAGTTGGAGTCTAATATAAAACGAGTTTAGTGGTTGTTTGTGAAAGTTTATCTTAATACCTTTTGATATTTTGTTGGAAGTAGGTCGGAATTCTGCAAAACTGTCTTCATCACATCTTGTTTAGGAGGTGGAGCTGGTTCTTCAGCCTTCCTCTGATGAAAAAGAGATCCCGTAAGTTCTTTTGAATTTAAATTCTTTTAACAAAACAAGACAACAACAGCAGACCCACAACCCCCCACAGTAATTCTTGAACCACATCTCCACAGCCCTTTACCATTCTAGTCCTCGCTCCAGGGCAAACTACTGCTTCCCCACCTACTTTATTCAAAGCAGCTCATGATGGAATTGATACAATGAAAACAACCTTCAGAAACCATCAGTTAAATATGAAATACTGAAGTGCTGTTAAGAAAGCAAAGGGATTTTCAAGGTCCTGAGCAGAAAAGAAATGAGGCTACTTGAGACCGTGGCTGGGCTTTGTGTTCCACACCCTGTAATCGTTTAACACTTACCCTTCTCTCCTCACTGCTGCAAAAGTTTTATCTTAATCTAAGTCATCGACAATGGTACTATTCAGTTAGCTGTATTTAGATTAATTAACTCCTACAAAGCTTCCCCTATACAGCCTCAGCTGTAGGAGAAACCTGCTGTTTTAAGGACTTCCATGCAATTAGTTGAATGCAAAGATGCTCCGACATCTTGTTTTCAGCTTCTAATGCAAACTAGCTCTAATCTGCCTCAGGTAACTTGTGCAATGCTATTTCTCTTTGTTCTTTAACAAATGTGCACACAAGTTTGATTTTGCTGTAGTGATACTTGTTTTGATACACAAGAAGCAAACAGTCACTAAAGGTGAGTTAAGTTCTAACTACAGTTAGCTGAAGTGAGCTAACTTCTGAACTGCCACTGAAGTTTTGTAGTGCATCTCCTATGAGTTACAAAATGGAGAGACAGAATGGAGAGTCGGGACTTTCTGTTTCTCCCTCACTTTCCACTGTAGTTCTTTTTGAAGTTTATAGCCTCAAAGAGCTCTGCCAAAACCACTGTCTTTAAGCAGCTCTCACATTCTGATATTCATGTTCAAACGTAAAGTGTATTTGACATGAGGTTCCTAGTCAGTTAGATATGGAATAATCTCATAACCATAAACACTAGCAAAGAATATGAAGCATTTTTAGTTACTGTAACACGCAAGAGTTCCCACGTTGCAACCCCTGAGCTTTTAGAAAGCTAACAGCAGTTGAGGCAGTGTTTGAATGTGCAGCTGAAATCGGTTTTCTGCAGGATGAATTCAGTGGTAAGATTGTGATTACCCACACTAACAAAAGATGGCCCAAGTAAGCACACAACAGACATAAGTACACAGTCAAGAAGTCATCAATAGTTAGAGAAGTAGGTTAAGAGCCTGAGACAAAAGAACATGGAACTCAGCTGCAGTGCTTACAGTCAAGCCAGTAAGAGCAATGATTTGTCCCTTAGTGGCAAAATATTCTCCAGGGCACAGGTTACCATACAACAGCGAAGTTGTTCTTTCTTAGAATTCATCACTTTGTAGTAAGACTGACCTGAGATGCCATTACTCCTGAAGCCTCAAATCCTTTTGCTTCTTCAAGTAAGTTTCTTTCTTCATTTGGCTAGAAGTAAAAAAACAAACCCAAAACACACGTTCATGGAATATTTGAGTGGTTGCACTGACCTGCTTAGAGCTGATTTTACACAGCACCAAGCGTTCTTCTAGAGACAACAAGAACACCCATTTCTTACTCACAGTGACAAGGGGATATTCCCTGGCCGGCCGCAAGTCAGCAAGACTTTGTTTAACATACTCCTCAGCAACAAAAGCTTCCTTTAGTCCAGGGAAAAGATTCTCATACTCTGTAGGATCAGCGAGGGACTCGGCAGCTTTCTGATTGACTTTAGAGAGATTCTCCCGCCACAGTTTGACCACCCTGGAGATGCAAACCACCCGTTACATTCGGCTTAGCTTGGACAGCACTACTCATGCTCTGCATGTGCTTTAGAAGTTACCTTGAAACTTGGCTTGGCAAATACGTCCGTGCAAGAAAAGCAGCTTCTGGGAGACGCCCGGTTTTAATGAGGAGTTCCAAACATGAGTCGAGCCTGGAAGGTTTCAAAATGTGATTTTAAAGACTTGGTTTTTATTTAAGATAACCTATTTATCCTATTAAAGTGCTTTCACGTCAGGTTTTTAAAGTAGCAGCTGTCATAAAATAGCATCAGCTTTTCTTTACCTGCTACAATCTTTCTCCATGAAGTTTTAAGTTAGCTGTAGTTAACAATTTGAAGAACCCAAGAAGGTTCTTTGCACTTGGGAAAGCAGAACAGAATGATCTGCATCTCTTGCTTGCTACTTACTTTCCCTGCAGGAAGTAGCTCATAAATGCCACATTATTCTTGCCATCCTTTTCTGCTCCTTCAGCTAACTTATTCACCATGTTAGCATTTCCTGAAGCTGTAGCCAGGAGCAGCAGTCCTCCATAGTCTTGTGCATGGTGGAGACACTCCTGGGCTAAGCCAAACTGGCATTTACTAATGGCAAGCTCAGCAAGTTGTTTCCATTTCTGTTCTGACTAATGGTACAAAAAGGGGAAAGAGAGGGCAAGAAATAGACAAAAAATAAGCCTCACATTTCTAAACAGCATTTAAAGATTTTTCAAAGCATCCAACACGAACATGTAAGTTGTCTTGTGAAGGTACCATATCCCATCATTACGCTTGTCTTCCCTTTGAGATACTATGACTACTGCAGCTTCACAGCATGATATAACAAGTGGTATCATTACACGGCTATAACATTACATAAAACAAATAGTTTTTCATTAAACCTGGAGGGAGTAGATAGAAATAACTTAGGCAAGTTAAACACTAACAACTCCCAAATTAACCTTCCGAATATAAGAAAGGCATTTGTGTCTGTAACTAAGTTAACATGCTTTATCACTTAACTTCATTAATTTACAACAGGAACTGAGAGACCAAGTCTCTGAATAACGACTATAGGATAAATCTCTGCCTGTGAGCTTTCCCGGTGCATCCGTCTCAGTCTGCCACGGCTGGAACAAAGGCTGACAGCTTTCAGCCCTGTCACCCCTCCTCTCACTGTTAAATACTGGAGATTAAGGCCTGGTTCTTGGTTCAAGTTTTGTTTTCTCCAGAAGTTCCTCTAGTTTTCTGAGCAAATGTTTCTTCTGCCTCCATCCCACAGCTCAGACCCCTTTGAATTACACACCGAAGAGCTTCGTCAAGGAAGCTGGAGGCTTTTATATAGTGTTCAAGGAGCTGTACTGCATCCCCACATACATTTGTGTCTTATTACAGGGCCCCTTCAGGTTCATAATCCTCTGAATCAGTATGAATCACCAAAATTACTATGTTTACCTCTGCTTCTACTGCAAGCTGATATGCTATTTTCAATTCTCCAAGTTGAAGAGCAAGTTCAAAACGATGCTCTGGATCTGTAGATACTGCAAGAGCTTGTTGTTTGAAGCCCTAAAAACAAAAATCTGACAGTAAGGCTGTGATCCAACAGATCAGATGTTCTAACAAAAACCTTCTACCAGAAGGGTACAGTATTCTCAAACACATATCACTAACCAAAGTTGATGCTTACAGCTAATATAACTGGGTTTGGCTTAGCAAAATCAATTAGAAACGTGAATAAACCCATTTCTGAAGTTTTTGAAAACCAAGAAGTAGTTTTCTTGCCTGTTTTTCAAGAAAATGTGCAACTCTGGTTCTCTGTTCTTTTGGAATGGTGGGAAGGACTT